GAAACGAAACACGTGGACAAAAACAAGAATATGGATATGGAACAAAGGCTACAGAAGCTTGAGGAATTAAATCAGCCCGGCCATTTACGGAAGGGGGATTTCATGAAAAACTGTATGCTTAAAGTTTGTGACGAAGTTTGCCCTGAAAAAAAGCAACTCTTTTAAACGTGAGCATGAGCAGAAACACCCTTGCCGAGTGAGTAGAGCAGTTGGCCATTCGTCAAACAGAGCAGCTTGTGAAAAGGGGAAAAGATGTCATTGCATATTCCTCAGCTGTGAATGAGAGCGCTGATATTTCTGACGTTGCCCGGTTGTCAATTTTCATCCGCGGAGTGGACTGCAGCCTAAGCGTGACACAGGAGTTTTTTTTGGCTTCACGCCCTATGCATGACACAGCTACAGTACATGAAAAATATACGGCAGTGGGTGCTGCGCAGTGTGCCCGTTTCCTCCCCGACGCAATGGCCCAGCCGCGCATCCAGGCTGCTCAAAAGTTGTCGATGTTTGGCAGCACGTACCTGCGTGAACAACTATTTTCTTTGATGAAGCTGAACAAAAAATCACATAAAAGTCGAATTACTGCTGAACACCTTCACTCAATTTTGAGGATTTGCTCAGCTCAGAGCCTGACCCCAAATATTGATGAACTTGTAGAAAAGATGACACACCACCAGTATCAGCATCAGCCTCAAAGAAGTGAATATTACTGTGCAATCACATGTTCAGAGTTTTTACTCAGTTCAAGTTTAAAAATTAAAGTTTAATATTTGTTTTCACTGCATGTTACTTCTTGAAGAAAGTGTTGTTTTTGGTTCATATATTTTTGCACTTTATTTTATTGCATTTCAATCAAATTACATTAAAAAATATTTCATTCAAGTGAATGATCGAAAATTGCTATTATTTGTTTTTCTTTGAAGTCAATTTAGCCTACTTCTGCAAAAAGAGAAAATGTGGGCTCTTGATGGTGCCTTGAATAAAACCGGTTTCTTCCATTCAATGTTCATGTGATGGGTATTTTTATACAAAGAAACTTTGTGCCTGTTGAAAATTAAAGTTTAATGACAAGTCATAAGAAAACGGTGCTTTATTTATTGGATCAGATTGGAATGTAGTTGTTAGTTTTTTCAGTAGATTCAATTCGGTTCAGTCAACTTTTTGCGTTAAGTTTAAATATTTTCAATGAACATTCGATCAGTCCGGCCCTCGCCTTGGAGCAAAATTTTTTAATTTGGCCCTCTGTCCATTTTACTTTGACACCCCTGCTGTATATATTTTTTACTGCAATAACTGTCTTGTCCACGGCGTCTTTTCTTTCCTTCCACTGAGGTTTAGCAAGTGTGTTTATAAAGAGACGAAAATGTCTTTATATGTATGTATGTATGTATGTATTATTTTTTTTTTTATGGGTGAGCACCACCCGATCATCAAAGTCCATACTTTTATTGTCTTTCGATGAAATGCATAACTGACCCAAAGGTGAGTTCATGTTTGGCGAGCTGGCGAAGTTAATACTGCACTTCTCTTGATGGAATTTGCCATGACGTCTCCTGAATGCGTGCGCGTCTGTGTGTGTGCATGTGTGTGTGTCCTTCTCTTGTAAAGGCCTCTTTTTGATCTCTCTGAATTGATTGCAGTCTCGCGGTGTCTGATCAAGGGGCATCATTTTTCTTATTTTATATTTCATATATCTATAGAACACTGATGTCAAAGTGCCGGCCCGCGGGCCAAATCCGGCCCGCGAGAATGTTTTCAGTGGACCCTGGGATGATATTGATTTATTATTAGAACCGGCCCGCGGACCGCAGCCAGCCGAGAGACCGCAGATCTTTTACACGCACCAATACTACATTTCCCACAATGCAACGGTGACGCGCCAAGCAGTCG